CTTTCAACAGGCTCCTTCGCGTTTAATGACAACAACAGCTACAGGGGATTTTATACTCTTCTCCCCAAATTAAATATCGCTACGGACACGATTGCGAATCGTGTGCCCCGCCTCGTAGGGCAACTACGTCGCAACAAGGGTCGTGAAAAATAAACAAAGGATGAGTAGCGGCTCCTCGGGCCCAGTACTTTTGAATACGAATCTATGAGCTTTCATGTCTTTGATTTGCTTTATGTAGAACCGGATCAGGTTCGGGAGTTCCTGACTGCAATGGTTGCCTGCCTACCTCGGGAGGTTGCCCCCTTAACCTATGATTCAATTCCGAGTTTTAGTCTCTCCTTTCTTTTTTTCTTTCCAAGCCAAATGGCGGTCTATCGGGGAGGGTAAAGGTAGGGGTGAATCTATTATCGTAACACCTAAGATTAGTGAGAAGTTGAAGGGTTCTATAAAAGACTAAGTCCTCCGTCAAGTGTGTCTCTAAGGAGATGGTTTCTACGATTATAGAACTTCCCACGGTATTGCCTTTTCTTTTAAAGGGTTTCACCGTTATGAGCCAGTGCTTTTGACCGCTCACGCGATCAGTGGGCATCCTTTAAACACCCGTACAGTCTTAACACTTGGCCATGGCAAGATCACCCGGGTTCGGGTCTCATGCACGGAACTATCTCCATAGCTAACCCTCACCACTAATTATTTAAGTGAGCTGTGAGGATCTAGTTAGTAATTCCGGCTCATTGGGGAGAAGGTAGCTAGGACGCATTAACTAGGTATTGCTACTTGCACCTTGCATGAACTAGCTGACCCATTATGCAAAAGGTACGCTGTCATCCCACTTAGTAATCTCAAGGCACTTAACTAACCGGATTGTTAAGGCTCTGCCCTTTAAACACTCTGCTCCTGATTTGTACACTTACTCATATGAATTATAAGGAAGCTGAAGTGATTTGTAAGGGCTGCCTACTAAACAGCGGCTAGTAATGAGCGCACAATCCGGAGAATTAAATCAGAGCGTATTTGATTTGCCGTGAACTTCGGCGGGGGTTGCATCTACAAATAGGATGCAGCCTCTACTGTATAGTAGATGAAGTTTCGTTCATCAGTCATTACTTCTGCGGTGCTATGTTAAGGGAGATACCAGCTGCTTCTGGACGCTCTAGTTCAGGCTCTTTTCACCAGTCTTCTACCTGCTATTTCAACGCAAAAAATAAGCCTATCTTTCGATCGACTGTTGGGCTATATCATCATCCTACTGAGTAGGATGCTAGCGTGTAGTCTCTGAGGTACCCTATCTTAATTTAAGATTCGGTTCCTGCTGGTTGCCTATTGTGATATCCTTAAATTGTAACTATTAAAGTAATTAAGGGTTTAGGGGTTCCAGCATATAGCCAAATTATATACTGTTAATTACTTAACAGTTGGAACGTTTTTCTTCTCCTATTATTACACTATCATGATTTATTATATCTGTATGAAATGTTGACTTCTTTACGCTATAAACTCATTATACCTAATATATTGGTATATACCTCTCATTATTTAAATACCTGTGAAGGGAAGGTGTCGCAATAGTGCGGAGCCCCAGGGGGGTTGATTAAAGAGAGAACAAGGATGACGAAAAAGGAAGAGGAGAGGTGACAAAAGAGAGTGGTGGTAAAAAGTAATATTCTCGATAATATGATTATTTTTTCTTTCAACAGGCTCCTTCGCGTTTAATGACAACAACAGCTACAGGGGATTTTATACTCTTCTCCCCAAATTAAATATAGCTACGGGGGTATCAGATAGGGGCAGAGACAGGGCTATCACCTTCTAAGGCGCGTCTTTCCATACGCTTATACTGCTTTAACAAAGAAACACCTCTTCTTTAATTTACGTAAGGCCTTACCAATAATACCATGGAGGTTTCTTAAGTTAAGATATCCTTTTATTCGCTGGTGCATATTCACCGATGATCCTACGTACTTGTTACCGTTCTCTCGGTTTACCCATAGGTAAACTCCCCCGACAAACCCTTCTTTAGCCATAGCTAGAAGGAAATCCCGAACCTGATCAGGATTTGTATAAAACAAATCAAAGACTTGAACCAACATTATTAAACCGTATGTAACGAAAGTTCCGGGCCCGAGGAGCCGCTGCTCATCCTTTGCATTCATTTTTGTTACGTAGCTTTTGATATTCTTTTCATGATAGTGTAATAATAGGAAGTGCAGTTAATCTTGTTCCCTCACGGTACTCGATACGCTATGGGTCAATGGAGCATACTTAGCCTCTAGAGGAAGGTTCCCCTATTTATAATCCAGGATACCCGGAATTTAATTGAGTATTGAAAGAGGCTATCCCAGGTTCGCTCGCCACTACTTCTAGGCTCTCGTTTGATTTAGTTTCCTCCTGCTACTTAGATGATTCAGTTCGCAGGGTAAAAGTAACAATCAGATCTTAGTTCATTGAGCACTCTCAACAGCTTTATATAAACCTATTCGCTACGCGATAGGTAGCACTAAGTGCAATCCAAGGGGCCCTTCAGAGGGAAGAATTCCCTAATCAGTCACACCTAGACTCGTTAATCGGCCCTTAGGGTCCCCGTACGACATCGGAACCGCTTGCACACGATGTGCAACCGACCTTCCGGGGCGCCTGAGCGCCCTGGCTCCTGGTCTACCCCGGTAGAGTCGACCGGCGCCCTACACTACTAGGGTAGT